GGCATTCAGCGCAACTTCGAATGCATTAGCCCACTGTATATTTATACGCTGTGCTATTACTATGTTCTGCAAGACTAAACGTAATTTTCCTGGCGGTATGTTTAATTTCAATGAGAATCTTCCTGCAACATTAACACCAACTAATGGGCATCCAGATGATAATAAAGAGCGACATAGTACAGAAAAACATATAACAATCTTGAGAAATCGTGACTCGGTTCCTTAAAGTGTAGAGGAAAGAACATTATTGTTGACTTAATATCCACAGTGGAATAATAATGAGGCTTATGCCACGAGCAGGAGCAAAGCGTATTAATTGAGGCGTTATGTTGTATAATTAAAATTGTACACTTGGCCTAATAAAATCTTTTTAACATGGAATGTCATGTCTTCGTTTATTTCGCTTTATAGTTCAGATATCGTTCCGACTGTCAGCCAAAAGACATTGCGGGATGCGACCGCCTAACCAAGCATTACTCTCAAGCCAAAGAAAACGACATGATAACGAAACGTAATTCGGTTTCATTTAACCACCTTGATATATATTTTATTGAAAAAATAAAGCACCTTATGGCTAGGGAGTTAGCAACATAATAGGATGGTAGGTTTAAAATATTTTATTTTGGTGCTTTTTTAGTACTTATGGGGTTAATTATTGGGGTCTTGATTATTATTTTGACCCTTTTCTGTTAATTATTTGACCCTTTTCTGTTATTAATTATTCAACGATCCAAAAGTGTTTTCAATGAGTATATTTAAAAAATGCCTGGGTATATTTCGATTTCTACTTCATTGGTGATATGCAAACAATTGTCAAACGTTGAGGGCTTCATATTTCGGGTGTCGTGTCCATATTTTAATTGGTAGTCGGCACTTCTATTGACAGATGTCAGATAAATGTGGATCGCTTCATACAAAACGTTAGTGCACCTGACATTTTATTGGATCTAATACTTAGTTTCTAGGAATAAAGGCCCTATTAATGTGTTTAATGAATATACCTTTATTGTTCATAGTATTTCCTTGATATTCACAATTACTTTTATAAATGTTCATCAGATGTTTAATCTTTTGATATAACGCGATCAATTTGCTCGTGAAATGTGTAACTTAAAAAACCGGCCATGTATGAGTAGAACTCGCGCACGACGACTCGGAGGGGTCGGTCACGGGGTGAGTGACTAAAAATTGATGAGAAATAAAAATTATTATCTCGACCTGCTACGTGCGTCGAAAATCACGTTAAGCCGTTTGTCCTGGCTGCTTTTGTAGACGTTAATACATAGCAATCCGCATTGGGCCTAACCATCTATAAGGAAGACGTGAGCCTATGTAGTGGGGGCGTAACAGGGCTGATGACGAAGAATGCCTTTATTTGTGCTTCTAAATTTTTATTTAGTAACCTTCCCATAGTAACGCAACTTTATAATTAATTGGCGACTTTAAGGCATTACTTACACAAGTAGACATATATATCATATATGATTTTAATCTTAATGTCTCCACGAGACGAAATTGAAACAGAAAAAAGGTCGGTGGAACGAACAACAGATTGACGATGAAAGGATTTCTCTTTTTCAGAACGATCTGAAAATAATACAGCTGTTATTACGTATCATGGTTCAGAGTGGGTCGACAAGATTCTATAACCGATTAGCGAAATGATGCCTTACAAATTCAAAGGTACTCGATGAATTATAATTTTTTGGGCTTAAGAATTATTTCCGATCAGGACCTTGATACGACTCTTTAACAATAAATGCCATTCAATGTTTGATTTGATCGATGATATCTAATCGTTCTTCTGAGCCCACCGTTACTTAGAAATTTCAAGATTTCTTAATAAATTTAGCATGATAATATAAACCAACCAATAGTCAACAATATCATAAATCCATTTAAAATGATAGCTTAATTGGAATACAACCTCCTACCAATTTTCGGGGTTTCTGATTACGAATGAATAAAAATAATAGTGAATAAATATCATTTACATTGCTCGAATTCCAAATTAGTTGCTAAAGATCCAGTATTGTGAAGTATCTGAGACAACGGAGGTACAACAATACCTGAGACAATGAAGAACCAGCATAGAAACCACTCGGCTACGGAGGTTGTCAACAGTAGTCAGTTGTGGTCATCATCATCTCTAGTGTATAATGTTTAGAGTATTATTTTTAATTAAATTTGCCCAATTTTGACTGTGTTGATATTGACGCGCTAACAATGTTGAAACTAACTGTGTCATATAGGTATACATCGGGTCTGGGAAAAAGTGACTAGTAGCTGTTCTAAAACTCTTTGTTAATACCTCGAATACACCAGTAGGGCCGAGGATACAATTAGAATCTTCTAGGTCCTAACCTAATTACGCAGTGTACTAACGTACAAAAATAAATAATAATTCAATATAATATAATATTATAATTACTTGAGAATAATATAATAATAAATAAGTAGGAGCATGTGCTCCTATTTATTTATGAATATTCGTTAAAACTTGTAACTGAAATTTATAGCACTTATCGTCAATCAATTAAGTCGGTTAAACTTATGGCGGCCTCATGTTTGGTAACAGAAATAAGTGTGAAATGAATAAAACTACTTCATTCTAAGTCTAAGATGGCGGACTTCTTTATGCACTCATCGGGCATCAAAAGAAAGGGTTTTGCTGAAAGCTCACTATAATTATTTTTTAATGCATTTAATTAAATTATTAAAACGCAATCAACATATCATTGTGAATAAAAAACTGGTTAAAAAATAATAAAATATCATTTTTTTTATTTATTTTTTTATTGTGCACTTTCTATGGACTAAAATTCAATTAGATAGGAATTAGGAGACTGTATCTATGATAACAACTACTTGATTCGTGATAGATTTGACGTGTGTGTTATGATGTTACATGCCCTCAAATATGGTTGAGCGAAGTGGCAGGCTCATGTGTCATGCTCGTGAATGAGTGTTGCCTATGGGGAGTTTACTCTTAACTACTTACTTTTGTCCATTTTTTTATTATGTATATTTGATATATTTGACACAATTATAGTCCAATGAAGTTATTTGTAACTGTCATATATTTTTAACTGATGTCACTCTGTATAAAGTAATTGCTCGTTTTGTTGCAGATTCACCGCGGTACAAGGTCTCTTGCTGTTCAATTTTCACAAGTAGTTGGTACAGTCTAGAAATTTAAATTTTTAACTCCATTTTTACACCTTCTCTATTTTGAAATATTTTTTAAATAAAAAGATCATTTGCATGTAACCTAACTTGAAACTTTCGGCTGTGTCGGTTATTTTGTGGCTCCCGGTATATATTTGTATTAATGATTGCCAGAATTTGAACATTAACGTGTCGCACCATCAGAAGCAACCCTGCTTATTAATCTCTTTCCCCTTTTTACCCGACTGCGCGACGCAAAGGAGGGTATTGTGTTTATCAGTCTATGTATGTATGTTTGTTTCTATGTGGCGTTCTATAAACCAAATGCGTATGCTGATTTTGATGTTTTTTACGTCCATCGATTTGTCTTAACCTTGCGAGTGTCACTAAAGACATGACAGTAATCAAAATGCACCACAGCGACAACCAGTCGCCATATTGTCAAAATAAAAAAAATCGATGAACTATGTCAAGTGGGGTATCGTTGAATAGGTATTTTAAAATCATCTTTAGAATCCTTTTATCATTTTTCATTTTAAATAATAGTTTAAAATTTATAACGATTTAAAGTTGTTTAACAAAACAATCATCCTCGCTAATTTTCTTACTTGTTGATTTAAGTTTTTATTTAAAGTATAAACGATATAGAAACAATAAAAAAAAAAACAGTGAAAAAGCATGAAGAACAAATATTTTTGGTAAAAAAAACTTTTATTCATCGCCAAGTTGCCGGGTAAATCAAAGTTTACCACCAAGCTCGATAGATGAACTCGACAGATAACTAAAAAGTATAAAATAAAAATAAATAATTTAAAGAAAAACAAAAAACCCGACTGCGTACAAAGTATACGTATTAGTATTACTTAACATAATTATAAACTACTGTGCTTGTTTCTTTCTTTTTGTTTTTATTTAAGTTAATTTTTCATGTATTTTTTTAAATATGTTTTTACGCAGTCGGGCTTTTTGTTTTTATGTGTCATTATGTACTTTTTAATTATTTAATTTTCTTTTGTGTATCATAACATGTGGGTCTAATACTGTACTTTGCTGTTACTTTTGTCATTGTGAGATCAATAATGTTTCTTCTTCTTTTTATATGTGAATCAAATTGAAAAATTTAATTTCAATATTGAAAGTGCAAATAATCCAAATCGATAGATCTGTAATTCAGTAAATATTATACATAAACTATCAGATGATAATTTATTATATCTAGGCCAAATATAAGTGTGACCATGATTTTGGTTAAGAATGGAATCAATTAGCTATATTTTTTATCAATTTCAAATCAAGGACCTTATTATATTGATCCATATGAAATATTGTTAGAGTTGAACAAATCTTATAAATATAAGTCAACGTCTAAACACATGAGTTAAATATAAGAGATTTATATAAATGTGTTTGTCTACATTTTTCTCTCAAATTACACGTTGCATTAAACATTGAGGTCATTACGACGTAATTTTAGTGAATTAACTAAAAAATAAAATCAAGTGTACTACCCAAATCTTTTCTCAATCCATACAGGGAAAAACCTTATTAAATACGTAATACTTTATACCTATTGTGCGTACATTATATTTCGTAAATTTTATGAACATAAAGATGTAAACATTAGATGTAAACGTAAAGAATTAAAAATGAAGTGACATTTTAAATATAACCTGTAAATCCAATTCACGATCTACGGCAAAAATATTAAATTTGCATATATTTTAGGATGTTCATAATTTTAAATAGATTATCCTGCAACTTCCAAAATCATTGCCACGTTACATTTCAAGTGCATTATCGCGATATATAAAAGGTTAGCTCACACCGAGCGGGCATACTTAGTGAGTGCGCGTGCGACGCGCTTCCTGGTACCCAAGGTGACGCGAGATTATCGATACCGGTATCGACAATCAAATAAGAATCGATGAACGACACAAACTATCGAAATAGTTCCAATCAAAACTATTAAGTGTTTTAAAATAAAAATTGCGGTTATAAAGTATCTAATTTAAAACACTATCAGAAAGAAGAATTAATTTATATTAAAAACAAACAAAAAGACGACATTAAAAAAGTTTTGTTTATTTTGGATTTTATTGTGTTAATGAAGTGAGTGAAAATGGTTGAGAGTGCAAATAATGATGTTGTTTCCAAGCCCGGTAAGTTACAAGTTCACACTTGATTATTTTTTTTTTATTGTAAATAATTGAAAAGTTTAAAAATCAAGAAATAATTTATTTTACTCTCAAAATGTTTTTTTTTTATTTAACTTAAAATTTTATTACTCTTGCTTCTTTAAATTACCAGATTGGATTCCAAAACAATTTAGACTTTCTACAATACTAGGCTACGCTCACATTTCAATGCCAAAATTGAAGTTCGCTGCTACTTTGCAATAAAAAAAAACTTGCACTATTACGCTCTTATGGGCGGTTAAAAATAGTCCAAGGAATGTATCGTACATATTAATTACAAAGCTATTAATTTGCATGTTCAATAGCTGCTTGAAGTTCGAAATCCAAAACTGATAAAAAAAAAACTAAATTAAAAAATACATTTCAAGTCATTGATAGCATTTTTCGTACAGTATTTGATTGTATATTATTTTAATAATTGTAAAATCATTCGAATTTTAAATTTTAATGAAGAATTGAAACTACCGATTCTGATAGACGAAAAGAGAAAATGCATTGTTGATTTAACCATGATGCCGACAGAAGATGACACTTATATAAAAAAAAAACTCATCAAATGACACTACTAAGAAATAATTAATTACTAATCAAAGAACTGCGTTCTAAATGTCATTATCATTATAAAGAATAATCTCATAGACTCAATGAAATAAATATAAAAGGTGATCAATTTGACTCATTCTATTAATTTAAAACACACTAACCTAATTGTTAGGATGTGTTTGAGATCACCAGACCTAAGTGTTTAAAAAGTGTAAATGAATGTTGTTTCTTGTCAATGGCTAACAATTTCTGTTGTTGAAAAAGGCGCAAAAATATACAAGCCGGCTTAGTCCGAGTCGGACTCGCGCACGAAAGGTTCCGTATTATCTATGAAAAACCCAAAAAATGACTATTGTTCTATAGGAGTCCTCTTAAATATTTATTTCATTCATTTTTTTAATACTTGTTATTCTTTTAAAATTCAACATTCGAACTATCACGGTTCATGAGATATGGAAAGACGGACGAACAGACAGCGGAATCCTCGTATTACGGTTTACAGCGTTGCTGCTCCACTGATCCCGACTTGTGTTACCATTATAGGTCTCGTGTAAATGATGCCTTACAGAGCACGCGAGCCGAGTGCAGATAGGATTAACGCTTGTAAATGCAGGTGGGAAAAATCAATGCCCCCCAAAATGTGTTGCCAGACGTCCCGATTTTTATTCCAAAATTCAATATCCCGCAAGGGACAGGCGTAGTTCCGCTTTTCAGAGATTACTAGATGCACTGCGAGAAATCTATTTAAATTAGCTACTTCAATTTTTTACTAGAGATGCCAACAATTTCTTTGAGGGTGTTGTGGCGTGATTATTGCTATTATACTTCACTTGAAGACTTGACCATTCGAATTTGGGTTTCGAACCCAATTACCATCCTTAACTGTTCACGATGAAGGCCTGAGCCTTTGCGGGTACGACGTTAGAGGGCTGATAATGATGAAGTCTCAACTCTCTTACAGGGCAAACTAGATAATTTTAAGCACGTAAGTATATTTTTCGTAAATCATTTAATTTTTGATTTTATCGTATAAAACACAGAAAACAAAGTTAAGTTAGAACTTTGTCCAGGAATGTCCTTCGGGTTGTCATAATATTCCAGTATATTCTTAGTAAATTAGGTATAACAGACGATCAGACAGATAATCTACTGGTCATATAAAATCTGTTCCACCTACTTAAACATTTGGAGCGGGTTCCATTTTTTCCCTTTAATAATCTGCGTAAATGCTAATCGCACACACATTTATAGTAAGTCTGAGTTAAACCCTTTTCTTGATTATAGTTTACACGAGTATATATAACAAAACAAACATCCATGCTTTCCGATTTATAGTTTAGTAGGAAGTTACGGCTGATCCAAAACTAAACAAATAAATAAATGTATCGCATGTTTTAATCCAGACATATACCTCATAATATAACTAATACATTATAAACATTTTATTGATAACGAATCAACATTTTCCATAACAGCACGACCTCGGGCAATTTATAATCGATTAAAATAAAATTGTTGTGTATTTATAAACATCTGTTGTAAATGTATCAACAGGAAAGGCAACAGAATATCAATATGATTCAATTAAATTAATATTACAATAATAAAATTTAAATTATTATAATACTAATCATATAAACATTGGTATACCTATCTTCTGTATTTTAGGGTAATTTGCAAAAATAAAATAAAATAAGATGAGATAAAAACAATTTAATGTACAACACACAACAGAGATAAATAGAGAGTAACATAAAAACATTTGAACAAAAGGCGGTCTTATCGCTTAACAGCGATTTTTTCCAGACAACCTATACTGGAAGAAGCAATAATACATATATAATAATGTAGGTAGTCTATGCCCATTACAAATAAATTTTAATAATATCAATTGAAATATAAAAACTATAATAAAAGTATATAAAATAAATAAATATACGATTCTTAAGATGATAATAATAAGGCAAAATTTCAATAATCTGACAAATGAACTTCGCAACTAGAAATTTAAAAGATTCCAGCGTTTGGGCGCGTCGAACATTCTCAGGTAAGGAATTCCATGAATGGATAGCTCGCAGGGTAAAATTGAGAAAACGTAGGCGGATGTAAAGGCAGATGAACGAAGGGGAAGATTGAGAGTGGAGGAAAAAAATGAAAAATGTTCCTAGAGATATCTGGCTGTTAATGGATTGAACAGCACAGAAAAGAGAAGGCATATGTGTAAGTCTCTGCTTCGGCGAATGGTAAGCCAATTACGTAGTGGAAGATATGGTCATATTTATTTACGCAGTCCAAATATTAACCGTATAGCAACTTTTCAGTTGAGCTTCATAATGCTGATGTTTGCTATCCAGACCATAAGGTCTGCATCATAATCAAGTATTGGTAGAAGTAGGGATTGTGCAAGAGTAATTTTGGTGCTAGTTGGTAAGAAGAAGTATATTAAACAGACACCTATTTAACATGAAACTAAATGACACTGACATTTGCAGATATTGCAAACAGGAACGTGAAACACCAAAACATCTCCTCTGTGAATGTGGACCACTGATCCACAAGCGAAGCATACATCTGGGACGACTTATAATCAGCTCAGAAGATATAAAATCTCTAAAAGCCAGGATATTATAGACTTTTTGAAGTCTATCGGGCTAAAGAAGTTACTATAGCTCTGGCGGCGAGTCTGAATAGATGTTCAAGCTCGCAGTAACTACAGTGCCTCAGGGAATTGCATAGCCCCTTACAACAACAAATAATAATAATAAAATATCGGGCAGAAAATTTATTACACTATTGTCTTACTTTTTCATAGTCATTACTATTTTTTTTTTTATTGAATCATTTAGCTTTAGTAATGAAAAATGCTTAAAAAATCATCTAGCCCCAGGTACTCTGAGATGGGACTCGGACCCACGACCTTTTGCATCCCGGTACACTGCTCTAACGCTGTTTTGTACCAACTGTTCGGCAATCCATTTAGATTGCCTGATACGTGCACTAGTAGTGAAAAGTAATAAGTGAAAAATTCGTCAGCACTGTAAGGTCCTGGGTAGCTCAGTGATTAGCACAGTCCAGTCTAACCTACGGTTGCCTGGCAGAAATTGCTCTTTAGCGATAAGGCCGCCGATTGTACAACTAAACTGTATCAATTGTAATTTCTCTATAATTTATGGTGTACAATAAAGAATTTATTCATTCATTCATTCATTCACAGTCGCCCGGATTTTAAATAGTCGTTGGCACGAGTCTCATCTCAGAGTAACTGGGGCTGTTGAAGTTTTACGAAATTATCTAACATTTCTAAGATATGTATCAAATCTTAGAAGATATTAGATAATTCTATCTTGTTTAAACTCGCGTAACTCTTATCTTGTTTACATCAAGATAACAATCAGCTCTCGATGGAATCACTCGAGGCGTATTAAATACAATCGATCTCTATTAAAGATATCTCTGATTTATTCAGATATTTCATGACATTGATTTGACGTATTTGTTTTATCATGTTTGTTTTTTCCCATCCATTATTTATGAGTTTGTAAAAGTTTTATGTTTTTAAATCGAATTCAAACTTAAATCGGTAATAGTTTTTTTACACTACCTATTCCATTCACAATGTTGAATTGGAAATTACCATAAAGATAACTTATTGAAAATCTTTATAAATAAATTTATAAATAATATTAAAAATAGTATAAATTAATTTAATGGAACAGAATTTGTTTTTATAACGTAATATTAATTGACATAACCTTTTATTACCCTTAAAACGGAAATTAATAAAAAAAATATCTTTATTACATTTTATCAGTTTTGCTTTGCATTGTGAATGCAATACATTATCGGTTATTTTTTTTAATATTAGGGTGACATCTTAGATTATAATTTCGGTGCCATGTTTAATAAATTTTATATTTATGTATATTTTAGTTTTGTTGTGTGTGTCTATTTTAATTTCATTGTAATTTATTTTAGTAATTTTGTATCCATTTGTATGTTATATATAATGTAGCTTAATAGGTATAAGCTTGTTGACGTGCAATACTGTCTGCGAAATCATAGCAATGTAACCCTATAGTAATAATAATATAGTTAATGAAAGATACTTAAAAATCCACCAGCCTCAGGTATTTTATCATTAAAAATAAACTTACAAAAGTAGCAAGTGTAAATACGGCTATCATGGCCTATTTCACATATGTAGAATCCATCTTAAGATATGGTTTATTAATTTGTGGAAAGGGCACAGATACTAAAATTCTGTTTATTGCTCAAAAAAGATGCATTCGTGCTATATGCAATCTAAAGCCGGATATTTCTTGCAAGCCTTACTTTAAAGCTCTTTAAATTTTGACACTACCCTGCCTTTATATTTTAGAAGTTTGCATATTTGTTAAATTAAGTAGTAAAAAGTTTACGCA